CCAGAGGAGGGACAGTGGTTTGGACATGTCCAGAGGAGGGACAGTGGGTATATTGGTAGAAGGATGTTAGAAATGCAGCTGCAGGAAAAAGACAAAGAGGAGATGGATGCAGTTAGTGAGGACATGGAGGTTGTTAGTGAGGACAGAGGACACAGAGGACAGAGTGAGGACAGAGTGAGGTGGAGGAGGACTCGCTGTGGAGACCCTCAAGAGGGAAAAACAAAATAATAAGTTATTGTAGCAGAAATCAAAACTTCCTGTACACTTCTGCAGGCAGCGATATAAATGATACAGCTAGCTGCTGCTGCTGCTTCCAACAGATGAACACAGAATTTTATGTAATAAATCGTGTAACACAAAAGTGACAATGTTCAAGTTCAAGTCAACTTTATTGTCATTTCCACCACATGTGGTACACGAGGTGGAATGAACTCATGTACACAGGGTCCCAGTTACACTGAACAAATCAAACATATAAAGTACAGAAAGACACAGTCTATAGGATCTAAACACTAAAACTAAACTCTAGTGATGCACAACAATGTGAAGGTTTCTTGAAGCACGCGGGTCAAAACGGACTCCACTCAGACTAGCCATTAGCTCATCAGTGTGGTCAGAATGAAAAGATCCATCCACGACTGGTAAGATATCGATTGTTCTTCGTTTTAAATTCTATTTCAAATCAAATAAAAAACACACGGAACAAACCGACGTCCACTTCAAAGGATGTGCAGCATTATCTGAAGCTTTAGGACGTTCTAGTGATAACGTGGAGGGTTAGACGTTGCTCCCTGTTTCAGTGTTGAGTGCACATGAAAACACACGGAGCGATGACCAACGCGCCACATGTTGCAGGAAACGCTCCAGTTCAGTTCGTTTTTCTCAGGAACCAGTAAACCCAGTGTTTTCTTTCAACACAAGACGTTTCAGTCGCCAGAAAACATTGACATGACATATTTCCATTAATTTTAATTATGCTGATGAGGGGCAGTTTTGCACCAGTCACGTTTTAGTAAACTTCACTTTCTCGTGAGTATTTTGGTCTCCAAGAAGAAAAATACAGTTCTGTTGTTCGTCGTAGTTCCAGGTGTAAAAAACAGATTCTGGAAGTTTACAGGCAACATTAAATACCTGCTGAGACTCTGGGTTCATTTCTTCTACAACAGCTGTTCAGAATCAGATGAGGCGAGTGAAGGGAACTCCAAACAGCTGTCAGAACAGCACAGCTCTCCTCGTGCACGGCTGTGTGCCGAGCAGCAACGCACCTTCTACCGGAGGTTTCAAACTGAAACGTGATTATTGAGGAAACGAGCTGAAAATTGATCCAGAACTGAAATAGATCACATCAGGCTTTGGATCCACGTGCATCATTAGCTGGAGACCACACGAGTCTCTTCCAGACTGAAATCACGAAGCAACCTCCCAGATGTTGTTCCATCGTTTCTTCTTCTCAGAAAGTCAAAGGCCGTTCTTTTGAAGCTGCACCGAGGTCGTCGCCTAAATAACATGAAGACTTGTAAAACATGTGAAGGACTTGTTGTTGGCAGCTCTCTTTATTACGTTTACTCAGGCACGGGTATTTCTTACAGCCCTTCTGGGTTGGGATTTAACCCTCTCTGTGCTCCTGCAGCTGGGATCCAGCTGTGGACAAGCTCGGTGTATCCGAGTCTGATTGGGGTCACCAGAAGGCCCGATCCATTCAACGGACAGCTGAGTGCCCAGCTGGGCGGCCATCACAACTCAGGCAGCTCGTAGAAATCAGACAAACGGGTTTTACTCATTTCTTTTTGAAGAGCTGCTCATCCAGATGATAAACCACAGAAGTCAGAATGACATGAAAACATCTGGACGTGTTGTCAAACACAAAGTGTGACGGCAACATCCAAGAACGATGACATGTCATGAGCTCGCCCCGACCGAGCCATTCGGTGCCGTCGTGTAAAATTTACTGCCGTCCTTTAACGACACGCTGCGAGTTTAAAGCTCTTTGTTGTGTTTAATGTGGCGAACGACTGGAAAGATTCAAAGTAAACACGTTGTTCTTTGCTAAAAATGGTTTATTGGACAAGGAAGGTTAGAAAAGGATCGATCCCTGGGCAACCCTCAATCATCTCATTACACAAACTCAAACAATGACCGCATGGAAAATATTATCAACTAGCGTAGGAAAATAAAAAGGTTAACTCAGCGAGTTCACCCGAAGGCCACTCCTCCACCGTTACGACGTGTTGCTTCTCATCTCGTGACGTTTCTGGAGTCAGTCACAAAACTGTTGTTCCGCTCCACCAAACTGTCTTTGTACTGTTCAGGTTGATCTGACGAGAAGCGTCTTCAAAAGGTCCAGTTCCATCTGAGTGAAATGAGAAGGACCGAGAAGCCGACTCAGAGCAACAGAAACACGTTGAAGCTTCAACGTGCTCAAAGTGACACACGGAACTTCGTCAGCACTTTAGAAACACTTTGAAAAGACGAGTCCAAGTAATTTAGGATGGTCGGAGTTACTTCTTCTTCAGCTACTGAAGTGTGGACACGTGTTGGACAAACAGCGCACGTGTTCATGCTGGTTCTAACCAGACGTCCTGCGAGTTCCTGGAGTGGCGCCCGTCACACGTGAGGCGTCAACACTTGGGACGTGACGTCCAGACACGTCTCTGGACGTCACGAGTGTTCTCGTCGTCCCCCGGGTTCTGGTGGACAGGACTTTAACGTGACGCGGAGCTTTACGTTTGGACACGTCTCTAAATTTCAGGAACCACTTTTAAAATGTGGTTGAACCACATGTGCTCGTACAAAAGTATATTTCCGGCTGCTCGCCTACACTATGACAGTAAAAGTAGTTAAATCAAGAACAAATGATCGAAGAGACTAAAATGTTGTGAGGACAGTTTCCTCATCAACACGTCAGTTTAGAACGTAACAGATAAAAAACATTTTCTCATGAAGTGACGGTCCCACGTTTCTCACGGTGTCCCCAGGTTTCTGTCCGGTCTGAGACCTCCTTTAGGCCTTCTCCAGAGACTTGTAGTACTCCTTCAGAACTGCCCAGGCCTTCAGAGCCATGAAGCCCACGGGGGGGTTCTGGCCCTCTCGAGCCATCTTGCGCATGCGTGTCCCCGAGATGAAGTCATAATCTTGATGTCTGCAGTTGAAAAGGAGAGAGGAAAAGGAAAGCTGTAATTTGATCCTGCTCATCGACCTGATAAGGTCCGACAGAGACAGGAAGGCCCTCATCTCAACGTTCAGGTTCTGCTGGTACACCGGGTTTTAACGTACAATCATCAAGTGCTCATCCACAACAGATCAGTGATTTCTACGTCACCTCGGTGCAAACGGCAGCTTTGAGGTGGAGGGGCCGGCTCCGTTCACACCACAACTAATACTTTTATACAACGGGACGTTCTGCTTTGTTTGCACCTCCCAGTCGAATCCCAGTCACACACAAACCAGGTTTGATGTCGGAGGAAGAAAGATTTGAGAAGACAATTTACAAAGAGCAGATTTCTTTTAAACCTCAGGGCGTATCGTGATAAAGAGTCAAAACACCGACGACATGCTCAACAGCACTTCTGCTCCTGGAAACTAAAACAACAATAGAGCCGTTTATGGTTTGTTCCCCATGTTTCATGCCGTCACTAATATACTTTAAACAAGCTGAAATTAATCGTTATCAGAGGAAACTAAAGTAGCAAAGAAGCTATAGCTTTAGGAACATCTTTGCTCAAGCTAACGATGTCCTTCATGGCTACAGTGTTGCCTGCTTGTGGTGCAGCAGGGTCATTTGGCCTTTTGTACGAATGTGTGACTGAAGAGAGGAGACCGGAGTATCAGGACATGGGACGGAGAGCAAACAGGGAGGAGGTGGAGCAGGGAGGCTACGAGGAGCAGAGCTCACAAAGGTGCAGGACTTCAAGGACATGGGTCCACTGTCCAGGAACATGGGGAGTGTGGTGAAGAGGTGAAGAAGAGAGTCCAGGCAGGATGGAGTGATGGAGAAAAGTTTCAGGAGTGATTTGAGACAAAAGGGTGTCAGCAAAGGTCAAAGGTCAAAGGAAAAGTTTACAAGGCAGTGGTGAGACCAGCTATGTTGTATGGTCTGTAGACAGAGACATGGACAAAAAGACAGGAGACAGAACTGGAAGTGTCAGAGCTGAAGATGTTGAGGTTCTCCTTAGGAGAGACAAGGATGGAGAAGATCAGGAATGAGATGATCAGAGGTACAGCACAGGTTGAACAACTGGGAGATAAAGTTAGAGAGGACACACTGAGATGGTTTGGACATGTCCAGAGGAGGGACAGTGGTTTGGACATGTCCAGAGGAGGGACAGTGGTTTGGACATGTCCAGAGGAGGGACAGTGGTTTGGACATGTCCAGAGGAGGGACGGTGATTTGGACATGTCCAGAGGAGGGACAGTGGTTTGGACATGTCCAGAGGAGGAACAGTGGTTTGGACATGTCCAGAGAAGGGACAGTGGTTTGGACATGTCCAGAGGAGGGACAGCGGTTTGGACATGTCCAGAGGAGGGACAGTGGTTTGGACATGTCCAGAGGAGTGAGAGTGGTTTGGACATGTCCAGAGGAGTGAGAGTGGTTTGGACATGTCCAGAGGAGTGACAGTGGTTTGGACATGTCCAGAGGAGGGACAGTGGTTTGGACATG